GGCTGGAGCACCTCTGCTATGGGGACAGGCTGGGAGAGTTGGGCTTGTTCCGCCTGGAAAAGAGAAGGCTCCGGGGAGACCTTATAGCACCTTCCAGTACCTGAAGGGGCTACAGGAATGCTGGAGTGGGACTTTTTACAAGGACAGGTACTGACAGGACAAGGGGTGATGGCTTTAAGATGAAAGTGAATATAGATTAGATCAGGAAGAAGTTCTTCCCGGAGAGGGTGGGGAGGCACTGGGACAGGTTGCCCAGAGAAGCTGTGGATGCCCCATCCCTGGAAGTGTTCAAGGCCAGGCTGGATGAGGCTTGGAGCAACCTGGTCTAGTGGAAGGTGTCCCTGCCCATGGCAGGGGGGTTGGAACTAGATGATCTTTAAGGTCCCTTCCAACCCAAACCATTCTAGGATTCATCGAAGGCAGCTTGCATCCACTGCATTGCGAAGAGTTTGTGTCGTGGCCAGTGCAGACAGTTTGTAGAAGCCATTCTGCTTCTCTCTGCTTCTGGAGGTGTGTGACTGGCTCCCTGCCTCTGACGCAGCACTTTTATGTTGTTTCTCAAGGACCTCTGTCTCGGTGTATCACACAGCAAAGAACAGCAGAGCTAGCAGCAGCAGCAATTAAATAGAACAAAGGAACCAGGAAAGGGAGGAGTAAACTACTTATTATTTGGTATGACCTAAATGTCAAATGTTTTGCCTTGATTCTTAGGATGCCCTTTTTTAATACACATGCCAATCAAGTTAGCAATCAGGGAAGAAGATGTGATCTCAAATAAAGCAAAAAAACCAAAGTTTCAACTACTAAGATAGAAAAACAAATCATAAAGCCTGAGTGGTCTCCACCAGAGATTACCAGAGGAACTAGCACACAGAACTGAAGGCTAACAGCAAGATGTTTTCAAAGGCTGGTACCCCGAGACTGGAAAATAGCAAAGACAACATCAATGGTCAGAGAGAAATAAAACACAGGAACAGCAAGAGACCTCTTATTCGACTCCCACTGACGAATCCCTAAATGCAGTATCTTCAATGAGATTGAGCACAAGAATGATTTTAAGTAAGTGTGTAAATTTCAGCATGGCTTCACCAAACTTCCAAAACAAATTGGGGCAATGGAGGAGTAATGAGATGAGATCACATCAGTTAACACCTGATCAGTTGAGTGCAAGAAGGATGATGCAATCCCTGTGGAAGTTGGGCAAGACCTGGTACAGTCAGGAAAGTGCCATTACCGCTGTAGGTGGCACAGCTGAAATTACTGAAAACAACCACCCAGGGCTGGTGAATCGTATTTAAGAAAAGATGCAGAAAAAGCTACTAGGCTGAGCAAAGCATCTCCAGGGAGAAGGCAATAGAGATTGATATACGTGGCCTAAGGAGGCTAAGATTTCTCTAAACATTTCCCTAATTTTTATCTAAGAAAGGGGAAGAATCTGTATCAAAGGATGACAGCTGCCATTTAAAGAGCTGCACTGACACACGGAGAAGTAAACTATCAGACCCACCTAAGTTTAGCCAGGATATTAGAAGACTATGTCTAGCTATCCTAGAGTGGTATCTTGGAACAGTCTTTCAGATGAAACAGCAAGCAGAGACCTCAAGTTGTCTGGAAATGGGAATTCAGCAAGCTGGAGCTGGAAGGTATCCACAGGGGCTGTATGATGAAACAGGAATATTCTCAAACAGGAATTTCTTTGCAATATGAGACCATGGGGACTGTGGCAGTACAGCAGAAAAAAGCCATTCCTTGGGGCTACCACACTCATCTGAGAAAGCCACAAAGGGAATTGCTTTCTTACCTGTCCTGTAATTTGGCCTCTGCGTTTTTCCCCTTCCTTTGAAATACAGATTGACTAAGCACAGAACAGAAGTCACGCATCCTACAGCTGAGTCACTCCCTTGCCTGGTTCATGCGTCCTGCTGACAAACCCAGGAGTGCCACTGTTGCCAGATTTGGGATCAGAAGGAAATTCTTCCCCTCCACCAGGCTGGCAAGCCCTGTGCGGTGGGGCAAGGAGCAAAGCAGGCCAGATGGGACCTGGAGGCTGTATTACCGAGTTCCTTGATACACCAGCTCCCTGTCACAGACACTGTCCTCACCCTCAAGCTGCTTTTCACACCTATAGGGACATGCTAACAAGAAGATTAGTGGATCCTCCTCAGCTAGCCACAGGGAAGGCCACTGCAGGGTAACACAGCCTGTGGTCCTGCGCTTTCACAGTGCTATGTCCCCGCAAGCGCTGCCCAGCCTACAGCCTCACTCAGCAGTGTGCTTGTCAATGGCCAAACTCACACACTGGTAGAACTCCCTGTAGCGGCCCCTGGTCATGGCCGGGTTGTCCCGCCTGTAGACCTTAGCGATGTGGTAGCGTTTAATGTTGGTGATCTTGTTCATCGCCAAATAGCGAGCAAAGGGCACCTGAGGTCATAGGGTTAAGGATGGGGAACAGATCACCCCACCTGCTTATCAGTCACAGGCAGTTCTGGGTCCTCACTATCTTCCCAACACTCACAGTGTGTCACATGCACACAGGGGAAAAAGCAACTGCTAAGAAATGGCAGGACTTGTCACAACTCCCCAAGACAATGGCCCACACATGCTACTATTAAACATCCCTACAGGCATCTTCCAGCAGCACCGTAGGCTGGATCTCAGTCTCACGTGGCCTGTGTACTGCAGCAGCCTCATATGGGTACCTTGCTGTAGGAGAAACCCCACTCAACACAGACCTTCCTTATCTCCACACACAAGCGTTATTTCTCCAGACAGAAGCAACATACAGTAAATAACTGAGCAAGGGTTCTGTGCCCACTGAACCACACTGCCTGCCCACCCTCTCCCTGTACGGGGTCAGGGCCGAGAGACTGTCCTCCCTCCTCCTCCTCCCTTGCCCTCTAGACAGCACTGCCCCAGAAGAAGGGCAGCAGAGGTGACAAGACCCTCAGCACTGGCTGTGGCAGGATACTGTCAGGTCATAGCGCAGGGACAGCAGCTCTCCTCCTTGATCTTTCAGATCGTAGATGAGCTTTGAGTCCTCGCCGTATTTCCCTGTCAGCGTCTCCTACAACAAAAGGACACAAGAACAAACAGCATCTTCAGTGACAGGGGATCAGTACTAGAGTGCACAGAAAACAAGGAGAAAAAGGGAGGACGCCTAGGAGAAGGGAGAAGAAAAACACAGCCCTCAACACATCGCAAGCTTTCAACTGGACTATCCTCGTCGGCCAGCTTGCTTTGTCCTCCCTCACCTTCAGCTCAAACACCGGTGTATCAATGACTTCTGCTCCATGGCGCTTGAAGCAGGTGATGATCGCATTGAAGACCCTCTCGCGAATGGCCATTTGCTTAGGGCTGTAGTCCCGCGTGCCCTGGGGTGAGATAAGGAAAAGAGCAAAGGACACATTGGGTTAGAGGCATGCAATGGGGACAGATGTGAGAGGCAATGTGAAGAAGCTATCATACTGCTAACGAAGCCAGTGAGGTCAGGTCCTTACACCAGGTATCGGGAAAGGTGGTAAAAAGCAGTATGAAAAAACACTGGAAAACATCAGGATGCAGCTCAGCCATGATGTGCCACGGTCTGCAGAGGTAAATATGTGTCTGGAGTTTCACGATGCAGGAAACAAATGAGCTAACACAGATCCAACAGCATTCAGTGCTTTCAAGCACAACAGCACAGCTAGTCCATAGTTCCAATTCCAACATATTAGCCAGACCCCTGCACAACGAGCCACTCTGAGACGTCAGGCACATTCAGCAGCTCTACAATTTCCAAACCCAGATAAAGAGATATCACATTTTCAAAGTGTGATACCTGTGAAATGCCCATCTACTGTTCACTAGGATGTGCTGCCTTTTAATTTCTTTGCTTTTAAGAGTCACTGAATTATTTCGATGACCACCTTTAGGCTCTCTGCAACACATAAGTCACTGTTAATTACCAGACCTCCCACTCACATCTTCTAGGGTCTGGCAGTTAGGCAGGAGGAAGCAGAGAGCAGCACTTTGTAACACCCCACCTGCAGGCCGCACAGCGAAGAGCAGCTCTCAGCAGTACACTGACGTGGCTGATAGGCTGGAAACCCAAGCTGTTTCTCCCTGGCACTCCAAGAGCTGCAAAATCTTCTCCCCACATCTTTAAACAGTGAAATACACTCCCACTTTCCAGGTCTCACTCCACAACTACAAGCCCCAAAACATGAGATAAAAGAAATGGACAAGAGAAGCCGTTTTGAGACATTTCCTCAGGCAGATCTGTGAGCAACATGCAAAACTCTCTTCCATAACACAGCATGGAAGTGCAGTTGATCTCTGGTCAGCTGCTAGCAATGAAACATTCAGGTTCATTCATCAACAAATTCAGCATAAATTGCATCATGGACACTATTCTCAGGGGCCTAGAGACTGAAAAACTTCCCCCTGAAGGAAGGATCCTTCTGCAAGAGGATGCAAAAATGTAAGCAGCTGGCCAGATCGGCTCAGTAAACAGGATTACTCACCCCCACAGACTAAGGCAAGACCAAAAGCTGAGACCTTTCTTGCTCCCCACACTTCAACATGTGCTGAACATTCCCAGCAAACACTGCTGGGCAACCGGTTTTCTTTGGCTGGCTTATGCTCTGCAGTTCCCCTGAGCCTTGCACCAGCGGAGCTGCACTTTGCAGCACTCTGTGCTCACCCAACCTATCAGCAGCTTCATCCGCTCAGGCCAGGTTAACAGGGAACAGGATCAGCTTGAGGATCCTTGATCCACAAGAGCCAACGCCTGCAGGCACGACTAGGGTCAGTGCTGTCAGAATCGAAGAGTCCTAGCCCTCATCGGGGCAATGCAAGTCATGATCTTACTCCAAATAGTGCAGTCCAAACAGATATGAGACCTCTGACGCTGGGCAGCTGTGATACAGCTTGACCAAAAGGGAATTTAATTTCCTGACCAGAGCAGCTGGTGGTTGGCCTGTCACAGAAGCACCAGAAAAGTTATTAGAGGATCTGGGTTGGAAGGTGTCAGGGATGTTTTCACCCCTCTCTCCTCTGCTGCTAAAAGTAAAAAGGGAAACAGAAATGAGAACAGAGACAGGCAAGTCTATGCTGAGGTTTTGCACACACAGGTGCATGAAGGATGCTGTGCGTGTGCATGGCAGTAGGGTGCATGTACAGAGGGGCACATGAGTGTGTGTGCTGAGGGAAGTTACCTTTGGGGTTTTAAGCACGAATTTGTGTTTCCCCTCATCTCCCCCCAGCCGTGCCTTCATCTCCAGCAGCTTTGCCACCTCCTGTGCAATCTGGGGATGGAACAAGGAGGGAGCTGAGGGTAAGCCAACCTGTCAGGCCCAGCCCACATGCCTTACCCAACACTTTCAGCCTGAGCATCCCCTGCTCCTCTCCAGTACACCCCACTTCTGTTACAAGCACCCCAATGACAGTACCCCCAACACCCCCACCATTCTCTGACTCCCATGACCACCATTATGCTCAATCAACATCTGCCTCCCTGGTCCCCACATCTCCAATTATACCAACTTCCGCACCACCATCCCCTGCTATGTGGGCTGCAGCATCGTCTCCAGCATCCTCTTCCAAATCCTAACACCCCAAACATCCTTCTCTCCAGCCTAACACTAGAATCACCAGTTCCCACTCCCACTTTCCCCTGCACCCTCTCCCCAAGCACCCAGCCCCTCCGCTCTCCAGCCCAGGCCAGTACTCCCATCCTCCTCTACACCCCTCTTCCCAACGCCACTAGTCCCAGCCCAGCAACACCTGCACCAGCACTCCCAGCTCCCCACAGACCCTCCCGCTAAGCCCAGCAACCCCAACCACACCCCTATCACCTCAGCAACCCGCTCTCCAGCCCAGCACTGGCACACACAGTTGCCCCCAAGCTCCTCTTCCCCCTTTCCAACACCGCCGTGCCCTAGACCAGCT